CTTCTCCTTCTAACCTGTATATAAAGACGGAGGATATGTCAATAACATTCAACTTCTTCTTCTATAACTCATTTATCTCTTTATTTTAACAAATCTTACGTATTAAACAGTGGAGGATGGCAATGGTATATGGGTTGTGCATTGTGGCTGGGAAGTCGGAACCACCCACTAAGTCTTCTACTCCTACGACAATTATTGTCCCCTTCGGAAGCAGCTATGTTCAACGGTACGTTTATGTTAGAGCTGGTCCGAAATTTACCAAAGAAACCCAATAAACTTAATAGTGTAAAAAAATAAAAAAGATAAGGATATCATATTTACGTGGTTCGATTAATTGATCTACGTGGAGGAGGAGCAAAACTCTACTATAAAAAAGATAATTATAAATATTTTAGAAAAATATTCCTAGACTATAAAACACTTGAAACTATTAAACAAGAAAAACTCAAACTATAAGCCTAAACTACTAAACAAGATATTTGTTGCTTCCTATCCGCTCAAGATTACTTTCTTAGAGAGAGAGCTAACATGCAAGATATTTGTTGCTTCCTATCCGCTCAAGATTACTTTCGTATAGAGAGAGAGAGAGATATATATATGACCAACAAAAAAGAGACCTCAATCTTACAGATTAAACAGTGGAGGATGGCAATGGTATACGGGTTGTGCATTGTGGCTGGGAAGTCGGAAACGTCGACTGCTCGTTAACCCACTAAGTCTTCTACTCCTACGACAATTATTGTCCCCTTCGGAAGCAGCTATGTTCGACGGCACGTTTATTCCACGAGAAACGATAAGAATTGGTGAGGACTGAGGAGCATATTGACTCACCCACCTATTCTACCTTCAATACGTTTTCGTGGATTCAGCTCGTCTTTTTACTGTTAAAAGCAATGTGGAGTTGAAGGAGACAGACAGAGACACAACAGTTGAGAGGTTTTGAGAAAAAAATTGAAATCAAAAGAATAGTTAGAGATCAAGAATTAAGAATATATCTTAAAGTCAATATATATATTTTTTTTTGTCTATATCATAAAAAAAATAAAATTCTCATCATATTAGATCACTTACAAAGCCTGCAGTTATCTCTACTTAAACACAAACCTTTTCTCTACATATTTTATACAAACCTCAGAGAATTTATATTCTTCTTTCACTCTTTTGTCTAGAAATTCTATGGATACTCAAAAGAAAAAAAAATACGACTAATTATATATAATCAAACCTTAATTTTGAGAGTTTCTTTTTGAGAATTCCTTTTCGTAGTAAAGTTTTTTTATCCTCCTTAAATATTTGGCTTCAGTAATTTTAAAATACTTATCAATCTTAATATAAATTTCATCACGCTTGCAATCTCACAAGAATAAAGAAGTAGTCTGTGTTCTTTTTCTTGGAAGGTTTGTTTGGCTTCTCTATCGTATTGATGTTTTGTGTTGAAACTGATAGGTTTCGAATGGCTAATGCTATAGTGGTAATCAGAGGAAGAGATCCCAAATAGGATTTTATTTTTACCCTCTGACTGTAGAACACTTACCTCATAAGACTTTTGGTTAATAAGAAATAACTTACAACACTTGAGAAGGTAAAATAAATAAATAAATCTTATACAGTTAAGCTCTGAAAAATATATAAATAAATGTAAGATTTTAAATATTCTTGATTTAGTGTGAAGAGATGCACTGCATCATTCTTGTGGATGCATAGGATGTTGATTATGTTTTTTTTTGTTTTAGGCAACAAATTGTTGGGTTGGAGACTAAAAAGTGGGGATAGACCAGGTTTTAAGAGCTACAGAATGTTGGACCTGATCAAAATGTGAGCTTGCCTGATCCCTAAATATGGATATTCCGTATGTACAAGAAGAAAAGCTTTGACCATATGCTATCACAAAATTAGGGTTCATAAGTATTTCTGGATTTTCAGAATAAGGTCAGGTGTTCAAGTTTAGAAAGACTTCTGAATGAAGGAATGAAATTATATAAATAAAAAAATTTTATGAATCTCTAAACTTTTATGATGAGAGAAAATAAGAAAATTACTTTTTAGTACTCTAGTATTTTCTCTCCAAGAGATTTATAAAGGACAAAAATAATTCTTCCTGATCTATGTGAGGTCTTGAGCTTCAGTTTATTTGAACTTAAGGAAGCTCGTAGCTTATTTTTAGATGTTGAAATTTTTATTTTTTTATAAACATAAACAAAGAATGTCAAACCACATAAATTTTTATACGTCGATTATTGTTTTGCTTTTAGATGAAACATTAAAAACAACTTGATCACAAGAAACATAGGTCAAAATGATGAAAAACAATTATGTTGATGATCACAAGAAATGATGGAAAAAGACTTTATTTTTTTTTCTTCATGGTAAAAAGAAGAAAAAAACAAGACAAAAAAAAGCAAAAGTCAATAATACTAGACAAAGAAATGATGAAAAAGGGAGGTCTCGGTGGCTTATTGGTCACAAGAAAACCAATATGTTGATGCTTAGCCTATATATAATCCAAGAGGTGCATCCTCAGAGAATCAACTCATTCCTTCACTCCTTTCTATCAGAAAGTGCAATGGTCTTATCCTCTGTTTCCTCTCTTGCTAAACAAACTTGCAATTGCTCCAGAAATGAGTGAACCTCACATTTCAATCATGACTTTCGTCCCAAATATATATATATATATATATATATATATATAAATACAGTATATTATCACTAAGGTTGAGACTAATTTGGTGCATAACAACCATATTGTCAGAGCTATTCTGCATAACACTGATGAGGCTTCCTTCTTATATATGTCTTTACATAGTTTACCTTCATTCCGTCATCCCATAATAGTGAATGCCAGAGTGATGGATGTAGTAAATCCATGTGAGAGGCATTGGTGTATTGAGTAAAAAGAATTGCAACTTTTTGAGTTGTGTTAGAAATTGAATAGGCATATGTGAGTCTAACTCAAACTAGTGAATGATTAATATACATCAAATGTGAGAAACATTCTCTTAGTTGATCTTCTTTTTCTCTCGCACACATCAGTATTTTTAATAATAAATTATATTCACTCTGTATGAATCTTTTACTTATGATGGACACATTGCACTCAGTTCTTCCTCCACAGAACAAATCAAGATAAGAAAGAGTAGGCGCCGTTCATTGAAGACCAAAAGACTAGCATTCCATTTCCAAGATGTGCTTTCCTTCGGTATGTCTACCTCCGAACACCATTTGTACACCCCAACAACAAAGACCAAAAGAGACCGATAAGATTAAACCCACTCCCAAAGGTGTCATTGTTCTCAGCTCCTCTCTGATTCCTCTACTCGCTTAAAGAAATGAAGGAAGGGAGAATGTATGGCCGTCATCATTTGCGTGCTGCGTGTGGGATTTCATGGATGTGGTGCAGCTGCCAGATATCATGGTCCATTTCTTCCCATAGCAGTTCACCCCACCGCTCTCCTCCTCTGGTATCGGAGCAGAGGAAGTCTTCGTCCACAAACGGGAACCACCCCGAGAGCTTCTCCTCCTCCACGCCCCACAGGCACCACCACCACTCACCAAGCTCCGCCGCCCCGTCATCCCACGCCATTGTTTCCTCCACCACGGACGCAAGCGGAGCAGGTGAAGACTGCTGCAGTTCGGCCGTTGCAACAGCCAGGCTTTTGTCCTCTCCTCCGCCCTTCCGTGAATTCTCCGCCGTCGCGCTTACCCGCGCCCTTGCTCCTGACGTCGAGGGCTTGGGCTTCGTTGCCTTTTGCCGCCGCTGGCCCTCGGCAGGAGTTGTGGTGGCGGCCTCTGCTCTGCTTCGTTTCATCTCTTTCGAGTTTGTGTTCCCTTCGCTGTGCAATGGAAAAGCGGGTATATATAATATTATATATATATATATATATAATTATTTTAAATAAGATATTTTAAAATATCTTATGATATTTTAAATAAGATAGAATTATTTAAAAAAACCTTTGAGCTAAATAAAAGAAAAAAAAATAATTAACATAAAATTTATATTTATATAATTATTTACTTATAATTTTTATCTATTTTTTTTAAAAAAATAATTTTTTATTATGAAAAAATGAATCATTTTTCCTTGAGTTAATTCAAACCCAAATCTGAATTTTTCAATCAACCCTTTTAGATCTATTAGAGAGAACAAATCCTAAGTATCTAATGGCTTACTATTCTTCTTTGAAAAGATAATTTAAATTATAATCCGTCAATTTGTTTAAATCTAATTAGGATTCTTGTCAATAATTTAAACTTAATTAGGATTTCTAAGTATCCCTATCTTAGAATCCTATATATTCTAAACTTAAGGTAAATCTCTTTAGGGGATCGGTCTCCTTCGAATTCTATAGGGGTTCTTCCCTCCAAGTTGCTACTTAAAGACTGCAGAAAATATTCATCTATTGCTTATCAAAAAAGGATAAATATATGACTATTTATAAGGTTTCTAAACCTTAACTCTTAATAAAACTCCTACTCAAGAAATAACTTTTAAATTCTAGTCGATCTTTTTACCTTTTTGACAGGGATCGACTTAGATAGATTTTACATGAATACTCCTCCCAATTAGAACTCTACTAAACTAATACTGAGTCCCTCACACACAAACATATAGTGGTCGGTATTCATGAAACAATATGGTTGCGGGCTCTGAACGCAGAGGAGTCGTCTTTATCCATAGATGGATCCCTCGTTTGATTGTTATGGAGACACGAAAGAGTCGGAAAACATGGTGCCGACATGGGAGAGAGCAGATCGATTCGTTGGGTTGGCGCTCCCTCCCATTGCCGTCGTCCTCATCCTCTCCTCGTGGCTCTTATCCTCATCAACCAAAAAAGTAGTACAGTCATACAGCAGCGACAGGCAGAAGAAAGAAGCATCCAAACGTTAGCAGAATCAATGGGTCAACAATATTTACTTTGCTTTGAATGAATATTATGTACATGTCACGAGTTTCAATGGGGATATAAATCTTACCTTTGAGCATTAGCATTCATTAATCATAGGGTAATAAATCTTCAGGTCTTATTATAGCAAGTCACGAGCAGCTCGCAATGGCAGTCAGTGTAAGAGAGGTATGACAACCCTTCTCTCTGCTCACTCCAAGCCACACACAGCGGCTCTTTAGCACGGAAGAAGGTATCATGAAAACAGAGAGAAGTAGTTTTCCTTTCACTGTCTGTGTGGCTCTTATTTCTCTTTGAGAGCGGAAAGAAGGCATCGATCCTTTAATCGGTTGCAGGCCACAGTTTGACGATAAAATAAATGAAGAAAAATGGTAATGGCGAAAACACAAGAAGAGGACGACACGCGGATTTCAGTAGCAGAGCAAAGCTCTGCTAGTTTGGTCTCTCGAGGGGATGACGAGGCTTCGCCGTCTATCCCATACATTTATATAGGGAAGGAAATAAATGTGTAAAGTGATTGATGGGATCCTTCTTAAGAACATATGGATTTGACCTATAAGCGGAACCTCTCATTTCTTGTATGGAATCTCTTAATCGTTCTAGGATAATTATAAAGAGTTTCTTTAACAAAAAAAGAATTCACTCTAACAATTCGGTCAGAATCAATAAAGATTTCATCTTTTCTAATCGAAAAATGATTGAATAGAGGAACTCATCAGAAGAAGCTTTTGTAAACTCGATCCTCTTATATCTGAATGCCATGCATATTTTTTTAGGAAAAATAAATTATTTTGGTGTGTGCTTTATTTTATTAGTAGCAAATATGGATTTGGGTAGAGATACCGATGGGCTTACATGTTAAAGATAGCCACAGTGCATCGTAAGATTTTTTTTTTGCTCGAAACCGTTATAACATTGATGGAGAGTCGATTGACTTCATTGTGAACTCAAACAACTAATACTATAATTGTGTTAGGAAAACGTGTTAAAGTGGAATAATTTTTTTTCTTCTTTGTGTGTTAAAATAGGTTTCTCATCAAAATACCAACTTGATATTAAAAGTACACATGAACCAGAATAGTATAACAGTAGAGTAATAAATCAATCACACGGTAAGACCAAATGCGAAAAAAATCACGGGACCGTAGTCCACCTTAAACTTCCACTATCAATAATAAGATAATAGGTTTACAATAAATCTTCTCTAAAATAGTAAGAGGATCGTAATAGCATCAAGATCATATATTTTGGCTCAAGAATATCATATCTTCATCATAGATCTCATTAAAAGAAGAATTCTAAGTATCATAAATTGGGTATAACAAGAAAGTACCTTAGAGAAGGTAAACTATAGATCAACACCATTAGGATTGTAGAGCTTGTTGCAAGGATTCTCTGCATAAAATTTAGATCAAAACTGACAAAGTTTAACCCCTGATCGTCAAGTAGAAATCTCAAAATCTTAATTTTTTTTCTCTCTCCTCTTTCTCTCTTTTCTTTTCTCTCTCTATTTGTCGCCACCGCTCACTAGCACGCTCACTGCACTCTTTCATTCGCTGCCCTTTTCTTTTACCTTTTAATTAATGATTTGAGCTCAAAAGACTCAATTGTCCAAGCCCACATATGAGCTGGATCCAATAATTCTTCCCCTCTAATAATTCTTCCCCTCTAGCTCATATGGTAGGCTATACTAAGTCCGCTCTTCACCTGCATGTTGGGAAATCTTTAGGGCGACATCACATATACAGCAGAAGAACAAAAATAAAATTTCATATTCCCAAAGAGATGTTCGTCGTCATGCGAAAATTGGTGTGAAAAAATCCATGAAACTTAAAACTGTGTATAGAGTAGATTGTGTTACTTAGGGAGATCGTATATCCCTGAATCCTTTCAGATCTCTAGGAGAGGGTGAAGGAGGTCAAGCGTCCTCCTCTCTAGTAGTGATCCACACAGTAGGGCTGCGACAATGCTCTTTAAAACTCTAGACATGCTCTGAAGTGGAGAGGGGGAGGAGAATAAGAGAGGCAAGCAAAGGCTCTAGCCTATGAACCACTGAATCCCTCCTATTTATAAAGGTCCCATGTCAAACCCTAATGGATTCTCCCTTATTGGATATTGGATCTGCATCCAATTACCCATGCCTCTTAGATTAGTGGATCTCTATTCAATAATCTGTCATGGGCTTTTATTAGATCTCATTCATAGAATCTAATAATTCAGGGGCTTATTGGATATCCAATAAGATAGGAGCTCCGGCGGATATCTCATATCCGAACCTCTACTCATCGCAACGCCTACTATATGTGTGTGACCCTTTATGCCCAATATCGAGCTTGCCGTGAGTCATACATGTCAGAACTCATTCTGGCTTAGTGAATTATTATCTTTATAATAATTCACTCGACTCATCGATTACGGACGTACTAGGCCACTACGCCGTAGTCCCCAAACGATACAGGGGAATCCAATCCATTGGACCTGTCTATCCTCAGTTACCGTGTACCTATAGTCCCTCATCCATCTAATATCCCAAAGACCGTATACCAGGTATGGTGCTATCAGACCCATACGGTTTCTACTCGAGTCTCGTTCTAACCAGATTCTCCTAGAGAACTCTTTTTCTCTTAATCCAAATGACCTTGGCCAAGGATTTGTTTGAGCAAGAATATATGATATATTTCTCTCATGACGTCGAGATTAGATGATCCTCTATCGACACTTAATAGCCCTCGTAAAGTCAACTGCCACTCCCAATGACTGGTTGTACTAGATCTGGGACTTCCAAACCTATAAGTCCAGTATCAAAGAATGAAGCACTTATACAGGACATCCTTGGTGTCTCAAGTCTAAGGACCAGATACACCACTGGGACTACGAAATCATTGTCTAATAATAAGGCATCATCAACCATCCAACATTTCGTAAGCGGATCAATCAGTGAACTCATTCTCCAATAAGCACCTATACTGTATCCCTAGTGTCCCTACATGAGCAGCTATGAGACCAGCTGCATCCATCATATGGACAAGTATACAACACACCAGTCTGTCCGGTTATCTCGATGTCCCTCTCGAGTAACCTATGACCTGGATTATTTAGGATCTGCGTTTAAAGACGAATCGGTCTCATTATCGTGATCTCGTTATGATCCAATTTCCATTAAACAGATCCAATCATAATATATACATGCATATATGCAATAGTCAATATAAAGTGATAAATGTCAAAATATAATAAGAAAAAAGATTCTATGTCAAGTTACACGTGTCGTTACTCACGTGATTGGCTTACTGGGCACCTATGACTAGTAATCTCCCACTTGACCTAAAGCCAATCACTAATGTGCCCGATCTCCATTAGACCCCTATGACGCTCAAAGACAATTTGAGACAACGACTTTGTCAATAGTGTTGAATCTCGTATTTTGATGATGAAATCAATTGATAATTATGTTTATGTTTTAATCTGTGTTTTGAGTGACGCAGGATGCTTCGATCAGGATGAGACAATTAAAACAGGAAAAATCATGTTGGGCCGGAGGAACATGTTAGAAGATTGGACGTCGGGCCAGTGGATCGGTCGACGTATCGACAGAAGGCTTCGGGCTGTGGACTTGGGTATCGGGCCAAGAAGAGCGGGTATTGCGCAAAGGATATCGGAGTTGCGGAGTCAGCTGGTCGATTGGGAAATAGGCTGCAGGAGAGGACGATGCGTCGAAGAATCAGATGAAGTGTCGAGGGTGTTAGGATCGAGAGCACTAAGAGGGGGGGGGGGGGTGAATTAGTGCAGCGGAAATCTTTTAGCGATTAAAAACAAAAGCTGCGTTCGTTCGATAAAAATCAGTTTTGAAGCAAAAACTGACTCAAACATAACTTATGACTAAGTGCAGTTTACATCTAAACGTAGTTT